GACTCTGGTCTTGCGCTGCAAGAATAAAGCCTTCAGTTTCAGACTTTAATCCAGATGCTCGTAACCATCGATGAGTATTAACTTTATCAACATTGGGTTTATTTGCACGTTCTGGATATTGGCCATGCAGAGGTTTGTCTTGCTTTGTTTCATCTGTTCAAGGGCTTTATCCTTGGTTTTCCGATCTTTTGCTGCAATAGTTGGTTCTTGGCTTCTTTTTGATTTACTACAGAATCTACTAAATGGTTGTTTGTAATATTATTGAATATTTTTTCTTTCTGTTTTCATGTTGTTTCACAATTTTATCATCCAGTCATTTGTTGTTTCCATTGTTAGTAAGCAATAGTTGTTGTCTTGTATGACAATCATCCTCACCTTCTTTACGGGGTAAACGGTCTACATCAGCCTTTGGATGATCAAAAATTTCTTGTTTTAAATCCATTTGTCTGATGTCATTTAGAGTCCAGTTCAAGATGTTGAAACTATATTGGACCACTGGGATGGCTAGTTAATTTTCATCATTCAGTTTTTAATACCAGTCGTACCCTTCTATAGTACTCTTTACGCACCTTTCATTTTCTTATGGTGAATTCCTTCACTCATTTACACCTAGGTTGTTAAGCAGGGTCTAAACTAATAGAGGAAGTTTGTTGTAGCGATCCTCGTAAAACTGTAGAGCACATTTATCCAAATTGAATTTCATTCCGATGTCTTCAAAGCATTTTACAGTTTGGAAGACCTTCCAGCTCATTGTCATTCCTAGCATACAATTTTAAGTCATCCATGTAAAATAGATGGTTTATTTTCTTTTTGAGCTATTTTGTAACGCATTCTGTCTTGTTAAGTTGGCTGGTTAATGCTATAAGTGATATGCAAAATAATAAAAGAGACGAGTCACCTTGAAATATTCCTCTATTGATTTTATTTCGCCAGACTTATAGGTTCCATTTTTATGATTGAGGTAAAGTGTAGTTTTCCATATCGACATACATTGTTTGATGAAATTGATGATAACAGTACATACTTAAAGACTTTAAGATCCAGGAATGTGGTACACTATCGAATGCTTTACGATAATCTATCCAGGCAATACTAAGATTTTTTTTAAGATTCCAGCAACTCGTATTTATGGAGGCTTCCGCTTGTACTCCCTGCATGATTAGAGATAACGAGAGACGTCTAGAGCCAGATAAATTTCTTTGTCGCTCTCCAGAATTAGTCTAGCGTCGCGTGGTATGGCTCACTCGCACGTGAATTCGGGTATCACCCTTTCTGACCCCTTTTACTTAGGATTCTCAGTTTCAAATCCCCACTGTTCCAATGTGGATTTTTAAAAAAATTATTCTTATTTTTCAGGCCGATTTTAAATCTTCGATTCTTTCCAAAATAATATGTTCAATTTAACATCACCATCTTTCTTTCCTTCTCCAATGTCACCTTATAAATGCTTTTAAACCTACCGCCTCATGATTTAATAAAATTGTTGTTTTTTTAGAGCCCTATGAATTATGAGTCAACCAATTAATCTAGAACTGAGTTTCAATAGTAGGAAAATGCGTCTAGAATTATTTCACTCTTCGGAAAGTAATTACGTATTTTGCCCCTATGAATTTTGATATATAACAGCATCTAGAATTAGTATATAATGTATTTCAGAATTTAATTCGGAAACCTACAAAGAGTGAATTTGGAATCCATATGAACTTGCACATGAGAACCAAATGCAATTTTCCAATATTTACAGCTGTCTTTTAACCAGGAATGGCAACTTTTCGCGTTTACATTACTTTGTTTAAGGTGAGGAAAAATGTTTTGCATCTCGATAGAAAACTCTAAAGACAGTGATTAACAAAAAATGAGAAACCAGTGTCAACATCAAAACCAGGACGCGATTCAATGACTTCTTTACTTTGTGTCTGGTGAAATATGAAACGTGTTACCCATTACGAGAACTTAGAACATGGACGGACCCTCATTGCAGATAGTTATTGCCACCAACTCGCTCGATTAAGTGACGCATTACTTTGTAAATGTTCTGCTTTGGTGAACAGAAAATGTGTTAATCTCCAGCATTAGGGCACCTAAAACACAGAGAAGCCAAAAAGGTCGATATTGGAAAGAAGGAGAAAAATAAAATGAGAAAGAAGAAAAGAGAAAATTAGAGAGAAGAAATTAGAGGAGACGATTCGAGATGTGGGAAGGAGATTGGAAGACAAAGGGAAATTAAATTAGAGGGAAGGAAATTAAGAGAAGGAATTAGAAGAAAAAAGAAGAGAAAAGAAGTTAGAAGGAAATTAAAAAGAAGAGAGAAAGGGAAATTACAGAGAAGGGAATAAAAGCGGGGAGAAAATTAGAGAGAAAAAGAGAGAAGCAATTAGAGGGAAGAAAATTAGAGTAGGGAATTACATAAAAGAGGAAATTTCTATATCGCTCTTTCTCGCGCTCTCTCTTTCATTCTCTCTCTCTCTCTCTTTCTCTTCTTCTCTCTCCTTTTCTGTTT